TTTTGAAGCAATTTTTATGACTAAAAATTGAAAATAGGTTTTTCTTTTTTTTCTTTCTTGCTTTATTATTTTAATCAAATGTAAGCAAGAATAATTAATTCATGTTGAGGAATGTTTAAAGCAAAAAGGATAAGAAAAGCCTCGCAGAAAGAAAAAAAAGTATATTATAATAGTAATGCTTTCTCGCAAGTCGTGCTAACAAATATATTTGAAGTTAAAAATACATAATTTAGAATCTTGATTAATATCAATTTATTCTTTAAGGAAACTCATGTAAATACAAATTCTCATTATGAGTAAGATATAAAAAAAACCTTATATTTAATTACAAATACTCATTCTAGCCTGTATATACACTGACGGGAAAAAAATCCCAACACAGAAAAAATTATTGTAGACTAAGGAAATTTTTGGACAGTGCAAATGTCTACTTAACATGTTTAATTGATTAAAATTTTAAGATCACAGGGTAATTTAAGCTCAAGAAAATGCATTTCAAATGTAAAATGCTGTTACATTAATAGCCGGTGTAACCTCCAGAATTTTGAATGCAAGCGTGCATGCATTGTGTCATAGAAGTGCCGAATGTCACTTTGTGGTATGGAGTTCCATGCTTGTTGTTTCAAACCTGGGAAGGTCAGTGCTGGCTGTGAGTGGCGCTGGAGTTGTCTTCCAATGATATCCCATACGTGCTCAATTGGAGACAGATCTGGTGATCTCGCAGGTCAAGGTAACATGCCATCACTTTCTAGAGAACGTTGCGTTACAACAGCGGTGTGAGGGCGAGCGGTATCATGTGGAAAAACTCATCCTTAAGCTCATGAATTGAATCTATTACACAATATTTATCTCTTCAATTTTGTTTAGCTGATTATAGTTTTTTACAAGTAAAGTAGTTTCCAAAGAGTAGTTTCTTTTAATCTAATTCTCAAACTGAAAAATTGGGAGTTAATATGCTTAAATATAAGAAAAAATCCTTTTAATTCTTTATCTGTCATCTTTTTTTTTTTTTTTTTTCGTTATCTTACTTGCGTGAGTTCTGTAATTTCACATGCATTTATTCTTTGAAATATAATAATAATATAGCACTAATAATAAATAAGATATTCATTAGAAAAATTTGATCATTTCTACTTCTATGATAAAGTTTTGGCTATTGTGTTAAAATGTGTCTAGTATCAAATAAATTTATTAAGCAATACAACATTTAAAAAATTTTCCACAGAATATTTGTTTGAAAACTTCTCAGTAATTCTCGTGGACAATAAATTATCCCAAAACAAGATTTTTTTCCTAATCGCGCTCTAAATCTATAATTATGGAATAACCAAGCGTCTTTTAGGAAATATAACAAGTGCACAGTAATTTTCTTTTTGAAATAGCCAACAGTTATTATTCTAAAGAAAAAGAAATATTTGTTTCAACTTTATTCATGATTTGCTATTTCTTCTTTGTTAGATGTCTAACAAAAGCACTACAGCCCTTTCTTCTCTCTAAAATATTGCATCTCCACATAACGCAAAAAATAAAATTAACAGATTATTGGTGGAAAATGCAAGTAACGTGGATTCTTCCAAAATGTTTTTAACTCCTTCAAAGAGAACAAGCACTTATTTCCATCCTATATCTCACTCTGTTCAATGTTCCTATTTGTGTCTTTGCAGGTTCCGGTATCTTTGTGTCTCCCAAAGGCGTCTTACTTCGTTCGGGATCCGTCGGCGTCAGTCTCTTCGTATGGGCAGGATGCGGAATCCTATCTCTACTCGGTGAGTCCCTCTTTTCTTTATAAGCCAACCATATAATACCTCAGATTCCGAAATAAGTAACGCTGCATTTGTGTTTCACCTTTACTTCCATTGCTTTATTAAATTAATTGAGATGAAACATAGTTTTGCTTTATATAGAAGAAACCTTTCAATTCGCTTATAATCAGTATACGCGTATGCTTTTAATTTAGTTTTAACGGGCAATAAATTATTTAATAATTTTTAGAATTATTAAGCTTAATTTTAAAAACGGCTACCAGTTGTATAATTGCAGTAACTCATCGAACATCATCTTTTACAGGCGCTTTATGCTACGCCGAATTGGGTACAATGATCACTAAGTCCGGAGCGGAATACAGCTACATGATGGATGCATTTGGTCCATTGCCTGCTTTCTTGTTCTCGTGGGTGTCAGTACTTGTGCTGAAACCCTCCATGATGGCCATCATTTGTCTCTCTCTGGGTGAATACGTCATTGAACCACTGCATGTCGGGTGTAGGCCTGACGTCGTGTCCGTCAAACTGGTCGCAACCCTTTCCATTGGTAAGTTTTCTTTCACAAATAAACTGCTTACGTATGTAGTTCTTTAAAATGTGACTTATTAATCACCTTGTTTTTTTTTCACTTTGATAGGTATCATTACCTACATAAACTGCTTAAGCGTGAAACTTGCTACCCGCATCCAGAATTTCTTCACCGCCGCCAAGTTGCTCGCCATTGCCATCATCATTGTTGGAGGTTCCTTTAAACTCATGCAAGGTAAGAATCTATCTAAATAATTTATAATCATCGTACCTCGATCATAACGAAAATACCTTTGGGGGTTCCCAGTGACACTTCACAACCAACTTCTGTATTACTTCATTTTCGTTAAGCAAATAATAAATGCAGCGGTTTCGTAGGGTTGCAGCTTCAATACAGTGTTCCTTCCTTCTTTCGGTGAAATGAACACGTTTTTAGAGAAGGAGGAAAACCAAGGTTGCCGTCAAATCGATAGATACAAATTTCCCTTTTATTTTGGTTTTATTGCCTGCGCATTTTTAAAATTTCCCAATTTTATAGGGATTATTATGAAGCATCCCAAAAATTTCGGAAGTCAAATGTAACATTTCCCAGAAACTTAACGGGTTAAACCCCCTGCCCCATCCATGAAAAATATGCTTTTCCCCTTTGATGACTTCCTTCTACCGGCCATTTTGAATTCGTGAACATAATGTTAATCCTATGGAAATTCTACTTTCCTTCTCAAATCTGTTTTAGGGCATTGATTTTAATGCAATAAAATACATCCGAAAAAGCAAAAAACATTACAAGCTTTCCAAGAACTTCCAAACTAAGTTCAGAGCTTAAACAATTAAACCCATACCATGTAAGTCAGACGAAGTTTTCCTTCTTACCTGCGCACCACTTCAGTCGCTTCTTTACCTGCCATTTTGAATTCGTGAATGTAATGTTAATTTTAAAATTTTGTTTTTCCTTCAAACAAGACTAAGAAATTTATTTTAAAATGCAAAAAAAATACCCAAAAAAAAAAATAACAATTTTGCAAAAAAACATTTTACTCAAAATTTTGGAAAAATTTTTTTTTTTTATTTTTTTTAACCCCCAAAAGAAAAAAAATTTTTTCGTAATTTAAAAAAAATTGGAAATTTTTTTGCCTGTTTACCATTTTATTGCAAAAAAGGATGCCCCAGCCCAGTTTTTGAGGAAGAAAAGGGGGAAATTTCATTTAAATTTTAAAAATTACATTCCAAAAAAAACAAAAAGAGAATCTTGTTAACTGCACCACACACAACCCTTTTCGATATTTTTTGGGAAAAATCAAAAAAAAGGGAAATTTAAATCATCCCAAAATTTGAGAAAACCTCTAGAGGGCTAAATGAAATCGGGTATAATAATTATAAACTTATTTTTCAAAAATTAAAAAAAAAAACATGCACAATATTTGATGCATTATTCCAAATTTAAAAATCCTACTAACTATCAATTGTTTTTGTTATATATTTTACACAGACCTTCCGATTTGTTTCATGCATATTTTCTTTCCATATATTTTATAAGTAATGCATGGGGGGTTTTTAGGGGGTTATATTCTAAGTATTTTACAAGGGGGGGGGGTTATTAAAAATTTTTTCCGGGGAATTGGGAAAGGGAGTAACCCCGATGTTCACCCTGTAATTCCGCCCAATGGTTGTCAAATTTGGAAATACCTTAAAACTGGGGTTTTTTAAAAAAATTTTTTCCGCAAAGAGCCCCCAGCCTGATTGGAAACCCTCCGCTTTTTATGCCAAAGGGTTTGGGGGTTTGGGTTCCATCCGGGTCAACCTTTTTTTTTTCAGTTCATTTTTAAATTTTGTTTTTAAATTTAAAAAAATTTATTTATGAAAGGTTTTTTTAAATATTAAATGAATTTTTGTAATTATTTTGTATTTTATAAAATAAAAATTTTTTTTTAAAAATATAACTTAAATTTTTTACTAGTAAAAATTATTAAAAATTATTATTTAAATTTAAAAATATTAAAAAAAAGTTATTAAATAAAAAAAATTTTTAAAAAAATTAGTAAAAAAAATTGTTAATAATTAAAATTAGTAAATTAATTATTATTTATTAAAATTAATTAATAATCACTATTTAAAAACTAATTAATTACTATTTATTATAATTAATTTTTTAAACATTAGTATTAATAAGAAATATTATTAATTTATTATTAAAATTATGATTTATTATTGAAATTATTTAAATAAATTTATTAAAATTATTTAAATAAATTTTTTGAAATTAAATAAATTTATTTTTAAAAAAAAATTTATTAAATATTTTAAAAAAATTGAAAAATAATTAATTTAATAACATATAAAAATATTTTTTTTTTTATATTAATTTAAAAAATTTTAATTTTAATAATAATTATATATTGTATAAATTTTTTTTATATTATATATAATATTTTATTTATAGATATTGTATTTCACACTAAAAACTTTTTTCAACTAATTTTTTTGTAAAATATCTTTTTTAATATTTATTATATATTATATTATAAATTTTATTTATTAATATAAAATAGATTTATAAAATTTAATAAAATTATTTATATATATATTTTAATCAAAGAATTTTTTATTTTATAAAATGAAAAAATTCAAAAAATATCATTTAAAAAACCCTTTTTCATGAATAAATTTATTTAATTAAAAAATATTTAAATAAATTTGGGAAAAAAAAGAAGTTGATCGGGGGAATCGAACCCTAACCTCCAGCATAGAAAGCAGACGTTTTTACCAATCGTTACTGAACCCCGTTGGGAAAAATTAAAATTTAATTGTATAAAAGCTTAGCATTGAATTTCGAATGCTGATTTCTCCGAATTGACGGGCCCATTGAGGGAATTAACAGGGGGGTGAACACCCCAAAAGAGTACTACTATTACTTCAAATCTCGATCCGAAATGAATTTTTTAGTCGTGCCCCCCCTCCTTGTTAGATAAAAAACACCGAGCGGAATCTCTACGTTAAAAATTGAAACATTGATAGTCAGTAAGGTTAAACCTCCAAACCCCACCCTTGGTACTGCAGTTTATACTTTTATGTAGAAATGGAGCTAAGCGTTGTAGAATATTCTAATGAGTTTTTTTATTATTCAGGTCACTCGGAGCACTTGGCCGCGGGATTCCACGGCAGCCATGCCACCTTCTCGGACATCGCCACGGCATTTTACAGCGGTTTGTGGGCCTACGACGGATGGTTAGTGATACGACGTCAGTACAAGACCAATGCCTTATATTCATTCTAACCCTTTGACGCCCCGTTCGAAGACGGGACGTAAAGAAACCTTTTTCCCCACAAAACATGCAAAAACCTTTTAATTTCTGCTTTTTTTTTTGGAAAATAATTTTTTAAAAAAAATGCCACTAAAATGGAGAGGGAGATTAATATTTAGAAATATACTGATCAAAGCAGGAAGATACCTGCTGTTTCTGTCCTGCTTGCGTTTTTGAATCGAGGTCTGTAGAAGATGAATCATAAATCTACAGGATTTTACATATATTTTAACAGAAGAATATGAAGACATATCAGTTCTTTAATGCATTAAAACCTAATTTTTTACAATTGACATATTTGTAATAGCGTAAGATTTAGTAATAAAACTATGCTAAGTTTTCTCTAAAATATGTGTATATAACAGGAATGCTTTCGTTTTTGACAATATTAATAAGATGTTGTTATGAATTTTTATTTGGTTAAAAATGTTAATATGTTATTAATTTAAAAGAAATAGAGACTGGGAAAAGAAAAGAATATTGTTAACATTAAATATATAGAAAAAATAAATAATAATTCAAAAAGTCAGAAAACTTGTATCCCTGACAAAAAATGATATATGATTCATCTTCTACTAAATGAGTTTATAGAGTTCATTGTATGTAATGTAAATAATTGTTTAACTTTCAAAATGTAATTTAATTCCATATTTTTTCATCGCACTTCTTTCATCCAGTTTTAATAACCATTTATCGATTAACTGGCTTAATTTCAAATAGTTTCCATAAAAGATCCACAAAATTATGAATTACAAATATTTCTAGCATGCCTTCGGAAGAGATATTAATAACTTAAATTTGGAATAAAATAAAATGTTTAAATTTCCACGGATATATTACAAAGCATTAAAAAATATATCATAATGCTCTGTTTTTAAATATTTTGCAAAAAAGTTCTTTTTTTTATTCAGGAAAATTTTAAAATGCTATTTTTCCTACTTACATATGCGTCTTCTAAGACATAAAGATCAATAAGAGTTATCAAAACCTTACAGTTAAATATCTGTAATTCGAGATTTATACAAATAAACGTTGATTTAAATTTAAGTCACAAATTTTAATTCAATTTGTATTTCTTCTTGCTATGTGTATTAGATCATATTTTTCAGACGTAATTCAGTAAATAGAGTTAAAGTAATATTTTTCTTTTCAAAAAAAATTGACCCGATTAACAATTTTCTTTGATTCAATTATGTATTTCAAAATACATTTTGATATTCAGCAACATACTTGAATTAAACGGAAAATCAAAGAAAAGTATATATACTTGGAAAAAGAAATTAATATTTAAAATTCAATTGAAACGGAATTTATGTGTGTGTTGAATAGTTATTTATTAGAACTCATCCTTTTAAAAGGCTGATCAATAATTCAATTCAAATTTAAATTCATTACATTAAAACTCTTCTTAATTTGATGCGATAAATTACTAGAAAAAGCAAATTATGCAATAGTTCATTGTAATCTTGTTTATTTTTATCGACAAACTAAAATGGAAAAGACAAATATAAATTATTCTTCTCTTAGTACTTACAACTCATTTTAGTTTTAATAAATATTTTATTTAAATAAATTACAATATTCCTTTCTATTGCTAAAAAATTAAGGGTAATGAAAACGACCTAGTTCTCTCCCTCTTGTATACAAAACTTTAAAAATTTTACGTTACATTATGCTCCTTTATTGAAAACATTCCAACCATCCTGTCTAATTTCCTATTAGAATAGTTGTCAGTTAACAAGTTGTTACTAAGAATGTATTTTTCAAAACGAGGATTTTTTCAAAAATATATCTTTTGCTGCAATTGTTCCAAAAATGCATGAACTCCTACTGAATCAAATACGCATAGAAATTATTTAAGCTTTTGATAATTGCTTCATTCATTCATAATGACACGAAAACACATTGCATATTCAAATGAGTTAATTCAACTTGAATATTTGAATAAAACTAATCCTAATCTAAATAAATTTACTTTGAATTTTTTTCTTCATTAAAAGGTAATTGAGGACAAAATAACTAACATTTCTTCCTATTGCTGAACAATATCTGAACTTCTATAAAAGGTAAATAGAAAATAAACTTTTAAAACATGCAAAGTATTCACATTAAACAGAAATCTAAAAATTGTACTTACCTATCGTCTTTTTAAACATCCAAATATCTAATATTTTCCCTCTCAAAATGCTGTTACGAATACTTTCTTCTGTATGGATAAAAAAATTGCAAACTTTAATTTTTTCCCTTCCATTGAATTTTTCATAAACATTACTTTAAAGAATTGGTATCATTGTATTTTTCAGTTGATATGTTCCTATATAATCTGTAGTTCTATACAAAAAAACATTATCTTGATTTCGTAATTTACAGTGATTGAACAAACCTTGAATTGAGGTTTGTAATAAGTATTTTTCATCGTTCATTTAGCTGCATTCAGTGTAAGGTTGTTGAGCATATTCTATTTTGTACAAAGAAGAGGGGGGATAAGATATTTTAAAAACATAAATAGATATTATAAGAACTATTGAAATGTATATAATATATATACTTTTGAAATATTTGGGGAAAAATTTTTTTTTTATTTTGAAATTGACAAACTATTCGTTTTTATACCATGAAATCAAAAACAATTCTTCTAGTGAAAGTAGAAAAATAGACAATTATATTCGTAGTCGAAAATTTGTCTATGGAAATATGAGTAAGAAAAAGATATTATAACCCCATTTATTTATACATTTATATATGAATTGGAACTCTATTAAACGTATTTAAAAGCCTTCGATTGATTTCCGACAAATTCTCTTCAATGTTTCTCAATACGTGATATGTTTTCCTAACGAAAAATTCAAAGTATTATTTGAAGAAAACAGCAGAATATTTTAGATTTCCTTTAGCTTCAAAACCCACAAGCCATTTATTGTCTTTTTGACAGTGTATTTCGGACATGGCTCATATTCTAGAACGCAGGGAAAATCTTAACATACCCTTTGAAAGAAATCGAAGAGATTACTGAAAAAAAAATAGCTAATTGATAATGTGGGGTTTAGAATTAATGTTTTTCCACTGAAGTGTTGCAAATAGAGGGATTAAAATTTGACATAAGATGCAAAAATGAAATAAAGGAATGAAATGGAATGTGTGTTCTCCGGGATTCTGAGGGTGGGATCAGGGACCAAGAATGGATGTTATTTTCATGCTTTGTTGTTTTTTTATGCAGGAATAACCTGAATTACGTGACAGAAGAGCTAAAGAACCCATACGTGTGAGTAAAGCCTTCTTGAAAATTATTTTTATATGATATAGTTAAGATGAATAAATTATTTGCATAAAATTAAATAAGAATTAAAATGTTTAATGAGTTTGCAATTTAATAGCTGTTATTATTGTGAGTAAGTTTATTTGTACTCAATATATTTAGTCTGTAAATAAAGATGTAATTTATTCTATCATTTTTGCCATTTATGTAAACTTTTTTTTATTTGTTTCGTAAGTATTTTTAATTCTATTCATTTATATATTATGATATCTTAGATATATAAACCGATTGCCTTATATAAATAGATTCATTTTGATATAAATATAAATAATATGTTACTAAATGAATCTATTTCACACTTTATATTCTATTTTCTATTTTTAATAAAAAGAATTATATGATAAAAAATTTGATAAATGATATAAAATTCAAGAGTTTTATTCCTGAATTTGAGTTTTTTAGTATTATGTGAAAAGAATGATTTTTTTAAAAATAAATTCATAGTTGCTATTAGATATTGCAAGCATGTAATATTTTATATCCACTTGAAATTACTTCTTATTCGGCATTATTGAAAGAAAATTGTTCACAAATGAATTCAAAACACTCAATTAAAAAATAAATACATAACTTATTACATAAAACTAACAATTTTTTAAAAGTAAGATGTGCTAATAAATACATTTATTTTGTTGAATAGAATTCTTTCACTAAGACAATTATCATGCAATAACTATTAATATATTTAATTAATATAACTGTTATTCATAAAATTACATCTGTGGTCCATTCTTTTTTTAAAAAAAAAATTAAATTATACATAAAAAATACCTTTTATTTTTGAGTTATTTAAAAAAAGATAAGGTTTATGATTTCTTTCAAAAATTTGTGTTAAATATTTTCACAAAATAAATTTATTTTAACTAATTCTTTTAAGTTAGAGAGAGTTAAAATATATTAATTTATTAGACTAGGCATAACATATTGCCCCACTTCTTATTAAATGCATTGAATACATTACCTAAATGTCAATTAAATCATGAAATTTTTATTATAATGCCATTATTTCTTTATTTTCGAAGAAAGTGACGACATTGTAAAAATAATTTTATAAAATGATAAAAATAATAAATGTATGAATATAAAAATAAGTTTTTTTAAAAAAAATTTTTCTAAAATAATTATCATTTAAGCTATTTTCTAATATTTTTGGACTGTTATATT